TCACTGGAGGCTCCTAGTCAATCTTTCCTAAAGAGAGTACACACATCTTTCTTCGCCCCTCTTTATTTCTCCGTTTTTTGATAGACTGACAAGACTCATGTGACAGCAGAAAGAACAGTAACTTATCCTTCACCATCTCCTTAGCGGATTTAACTCATCTTCACAGTTCTGTTTCCATGGGAGATGGCACCCCTTTAATTTAGAGACTTGGTGACTGATGGTCTGTGGTCTGTAGCTCTGTCTGTCTGCTCTTGGCACCTGCAATCTTTCAAATCAGCAAAGTTCTCCATTGAAAACACACGTAGTGGGTAAATGGCCCAGCGTCTTGAAGGCAACACGGAGCAGAATGACCTATTTCTGTTTTAGCAACATTCTGTGGGCAACGTGGGGGGCTGGGGCAGATGCAAGGAGAAGCGGTTAAGGTTTGAGAGACCGCCTGTGTGAGAGGGTGGCCTTGATTGTGGGGTCCAAAGAAGTGCCTTGGGCATGGGGGCTGGGGAGAAGGGCAGGGGAAACCCCAGAGCTACATGGAGAAGACCTTACAATGACTGGACATGGACCACAGGACAGGCGTCTGGGGAGCTGGCATCTCCTAACTGGGGTGGCCGGCAGGTGGTGGTGGTGGTGATCCAGAGAGAGAAGTAGGAACAGAAGGCTTCAGGCCTTACCAGCTGCAGTCTGCTTCATTCTCCACGTGACACACCTGCATTGCATGAGGGCTAGTTATCCAGCCTGTGACTGCAAACAGTGATGCAGACATCAGAAGGGAAGTCAGTCTAATATGGTCATTTCCATACTTACAGTTTCCTTGAGGCAGAGCCTTCACACATTTCTGTCTCTTCAACATAAAGTGAAATGCCAGGCATTTCAGAAAAGATGTGGCTCAGAAAAGATGTGGCAAACTGAAAACCAGCAAATGTCATATGCCTTAAAAGCAGTGAGCCTGAGTTTCCCCCTGAATCCCTGTGAAGTACAGTATAATGGGTATGATCGTTCAGATAGAGCCCAACGGTGCACTAGGGCTGTGGCATTAGAAATTTGCATGTAATGCAGCTGTTCTCTAGGGCCTCAGTCATTCCAAGGATGCGTTGTCTTTTCAAATGACTAGAGCAAAGTAACTCCCCAGGATCACTGTCATATCCACACTAATATTTAAGCTCACCAGTTTTAATTCTGTGGCTCATTTTTTTTTCTATGTCAATATATATCTTTTCCTTAGAAGTTTTTTTTTAATATAGTAATAAATAGCTTTAAACTCTGCTTTGCCATAGGACTAGACTTTTTCTTTTTCTTTTTTTCCAGGGATTGAGTTTATTTGTGAAGTTTATTGCACCTTCATTCTGGACATAGACACAAGATAAAGCTGTACTGAACGCATACACTTTGAGATGTATGTATTTAAATGCAGTGAAGATGCAGGTACACAAATCCAGCAGCTTTTCACGTTTTCTTGCACCAGGGAGAAAACCCATACGGTGATGTATTGAGCCCCTTCCATGCACTATTACACAGGTGGGGTAGGGTCCTGGGCCACAGGGTGAAGACCTATATTACAATCGGTGCTACTGCAGAGGTTAAGAGAATATAAACAGAATAACTGAATGTAGAGTGAGCAGAGCCGCACAGGGACAAGCAGGGATGTGGGGAGAAGTTTCACCAGTGGCCATATATTTCCAGCAGAAGTAAAGCCCACTGATGCTCATCATTGATGCCTCGGTGTGAACTAGACTCCCCATCAGAAAGGACAGGGTGATTCAGGAGACAAGGTGGCATCCACCAATGCCTGGGGACCAGAGAGAACAGGGCATGTGGAGTGTACTGCTAGTGGTTCAGGATGGCCGGACAGAAAGCATGCAGTGCCAGGTGACTACTGACGGCTCTGGTTCACATGCTCAGGGCGTGGACAGACAAGGAAGACAGACTGGGCTGCTATACAGTAGAAGTAGGCAAGTGGGAACAACAAAGAAATTCGAGAGACCGTGATGCAATCTTGTCTGTGAGCCTTGTGCAAACCCATGGGACTTAGATAAAAAACAAATTTTGTTTGAGCAACTTCCAGACAGTGAAGTATTAATAATTTACCCATTTAGATACTAGTATTAGATGTCTGGAGCACAAATATATCAACTAATTATATTTTTAAAAATACTACACATGTAATAATAATAAAAGGGAATTTTCTGAGCTTTGTTAATGAGGCTCCATGCATGAACTAATTCATGATCACCTGGAACCTAAAATATGCTTTTGTATTTCTAGGTCATAGTTGCTTTATCCTTTGTAACTATGGTGATCACATAGCTTTTCATCCAAACTGGGACAGTTTCAAGAGTGGAAGAGATATTATGAATAATGATACAAAGACAACAGGCATGAATACGAACTCTCTTGGGCCAACCATATGTACAATTCTTACGTAAAATGCATTTTAAAAATGCTTAAATGATGACATTTATTTTAGATTTGGAATAGCATTTGGGAATGCATTGTCCTTTCCTCTTTTAACTGGACAATTTCCAATCGTGTAATACCTTAAAGCTGGTGAACTGCTCCATTTTCTCTTCCTAGTCACACCTTTCTATTTTTGTCAGGATGCTGAATGAATCACTAGCTGAACCCAGTGAAATAAAGATGATAAATCTCTTAACCATGACACTTACCAGCTGTGAAATGTACACGTAACTTTTAAAAGCAGAATTCTTAAAGTCTAGGAAAAAATACTTCACTGTATTTTATTTTTCCTTAGCTTCCAAAGCAGAAATTGGGATCAAATCCAATAAAAACTTTTATGGCCAATGAAAAATGAAGCATTATTAAAATAAGAAAAAAGGAAGAAGCTGAAAGATTTACTACAGAGAACTGCCAGACTGTAGCATTTCAATGGATCCCCATACAAAGCCACAATGTTCAGCTATTATTCAAGCAGGTGGCACATTATTATTCTTATAGATTGATACCTTTGCTTATTATCCCCTTGACTGCATGCAAAACGCAGTAATTTGAATCTAATCATGTCTGTAAAAACCTCCATTAATAATATATAGTGTTATTAAAACATTAAAAATTATCTATAGCCCATTCTAATTGATTTTGTTCTCTGTAATTGATGGGCTGAGTTTCACTATACCTGGGTATGCCAGGACGACTAACTTTGAGAATAAAAGAAAATCATTGATTTCAGGTTTGAAATGAGGCAGTTTGGAAACACTGCTTCATAGGGTTTCTCACCTCCTGCAGAGAGCAGCACCACAGGAGTATAAGTACGTTGCCGGTAGACAATGGATACGTATTTTTGAGTTTATATAGTTCCACAATAATTAAAATAGTGTAAGAAGATGAATCTCACACATGGCCATTTTATACAAATGGTAAAAAGGTGTCTGTCTTTGTGGAATGACTCCCAGGTCCTCCTGAATAAAATCCAAGGAAATTGCAGCCTCACATAAGGCTCTCCCAGGGTCTGCTTCTATACCTCGTTTCCCCATGAACCGCTTGTAGCCTGCTACATCATGCCTCAATGCTCTCACTTCTGCCCTTCCTTATGCTCAAACATACTTCCCGCTTCTATCATTGGCCAGACTCTTCCTAGGTAGCACCATGGAGCTTGGCGTAATTTCCAGAACATCTTTCCTGAGTCCCCAGATTCATTTAGATCTTCCTGTTCTGTGCTTTTCCAGCACCTCTTAGGGGTCTTCCTAGCAGCAGGCTGATGTGTTATATTTGATTTATCAGCCTATAGAACTCCTTGCCTTCATAGACTACAAGTGCTTCAAGGACAGAAGGCTACCAACTCATCTCAGATTTTGGCAATGCATGACAGGATCAGTGCTCACAAAATATGTCCTAATCTGAGCTAAAACTAAAACGTCTATCTACTTAAAATTGTTTGCAGTTGCACCGACACATATTTAAGCCACACAACCATTTCTAAGCAAGTGCATCTGGGTGGAATGAAGGCGGATGGCCCTCACTTAGATGCTGCTTTTTAGTGAGGTTTGCTCTGAGTCACTCACTCACCTTACCTGAGCTTAGTTACACATTTGTACTAGTGAGCATATAATTAAGGTTGTGGCTCTAATTCAGTGCAAAATAAATTTAACTTGTACAGTGTACATGCTCAGTGAGCTTCCCTAACTTACTTTCTTTTAACACTTTTAAATAAAAAAAAATATATATACCCTGGGGCTTCACTTCTATAGTTATGGTTCTCTATGTGTATATACGAGAAAGTCATATGATGCCCATTGTTTGCATTGATCTCTTGTTCTTGCTTATGTCCGTCCTATTACTTAGAATGCCATACATAAATTACCGCTATTCCTTCCCTATACAGCACAAATCTTACCTTCCGAGCAAAGTCTATCAGAATTCGTTGGTATATCATCTGGGTTTCCACAGCACCTTTTAAATGATTTCACTACAATACAGTAGATACTATTAAACTGTCATTGTAATGCCAAATGGATTCCCTTCTCTTTGATAATTTTTCCAGTCTGGGATTATTTTTCAAAATAAAGAAAATAATGAGACCTATGTTAAAAGAATTTCTGGAAAGACAATACTTTTTCTTTTTATGATAGAAAGAGCATCACTTTTTAAAATACATTATTAAAATAAATGTATAAATTCATGCACATTTAAAATATAGTCATCAGTGAAGGTTTTGTGGTCAAGAATAAGTTTCTTTTGGCAAGAAAAATTAAACACTAAAAGTGTAAAAAAGTTATATGATGTAGTATTAATACATTTGGCCAGGGATTTAATATATATAAAAATACTCAGTATTTGAATCACATCATAATATAAACAGTGATTTTAAAGAAAGGCAACACAATGCATTAAAACTGCCACACTTCACTTTTTTGAATGAAAAGAAATTGACTAATTGCTGTCAGATTAACTTAAATTTTTAAAACATAAAAGAGCCTAGAGTAGCCATTATCAGTTTCTTTGACTAGCAGTTCATAAACACAAGGCAATAAGAAATTAATTTAATTTACCTTAATAACCAAATCAAATTTCTGGTGAAAATCTCTGTTTATAGGCTCCAGGAGACTAAGTTCTGCAGTCCTGGGATGCATATGGAAAAATCGTGGGTAATCCTCTGGAGTCCCTGAAAGACAGTGAGATTTCAGCACATAATTGAGAACAGGAAGTAATATGTGTGTGCGCTATATCTATTTTGCTTCATTAACTGAGGAACAAAATCACAATTTCATTAGTAAATTAACTTTCAAAATTATGCAGTCTAGGGAAAGGAGACACAAATGTGGTATATAATTAATTAGCTTATGGGTAAGAAAGATGGAAAATATTTCTTGTTTGGATGGTTTTCTAAATATCTTTTATTAGAAGAGCTCTTTAATTAATTTGAAGCTTCATCACATGAGAAGAGATATTAAGTGTAGGGAGAGCAAATTTTGAATTATACAATTGTGTTTTAATGGTGCATAAATCTTAATTATGGTCTGCATGGTCTTCCACAATATCGTGTAATAAACAAAGACTAGTAATTTGTACCAAATATCAAGCTGCTTGAAAATTGAAATGAACATATTCTGTTCCAGCTGGGCAAATATTTTTCTAGAGGCAAAGATCCAGCCAATTACATCAATTATATTAAATCAAAATATATTGATAATACTCTTAATGCCTACAGAGGACATTTCTTAAATACAGGCATTTTAGTGAGATGAAGTACATTTCTTCTTGCAGAAATTTTCTTCAAGTGCATTATCTTCCTTTGTCTAACATGATATTCTTTTTCTCAAAGTGAAGAAAAAAATAGAACTCAAATTTTATAACTATAAAGTATATGTATGCATTTGGCAAAATGGTAACGATAACTGTAAGAATAAAATAACTGTGGCCTCCAATTATTAATGCCTACCTTGTGCTAAATGCTTTATGTAAATAACCATCAGTAAGTCTGAAAATCTTTCCCATTTTACAGAGAAGGATTTGGGGGCTTTGAGATATTAAATAACGTGTCCAAATCAAAGAGACAATTTAAGATAGAGCTTGCATTCAAATCCAGGGTGCTAGAAGCCAGACATATCCACAAATGGGTTAATTTCTATTATTCCTTTGCTTTAACACTGAGACAAGAAGAGAACCTCTCCTGAGTCATTATGTGAGGGGAAATAAAAAAAGTGTGCCAGGAAAACAGACTTGGAAATCTAGAAATAGTCAAAATTGCACATGACAAGTTAGCATATGATAATGGAGTCATCTCAAAACAGTAGGGGAAAACGGATTTTTGAATACTACAATTTATCAAATAGAAGAGCAATACAGAAAATGATCAAATTGCATCCATTCTTTATACTCACATAAACCCCAAATGGAGAGGATATTCATATATAATGACAATGAAACAATACAAGTGCTCGTAATAGATGAGAACACAGACAAATTCCACTATAATGTGAGTGGGCATATCTCTCCTAACTAGGGCTCAAATCAAGAAGCAGTAAGGGAATAGAGAGATAAATTTGATGACATTACAAAATGGCTTGGCAAGACACAGTAAACAAAGTAAAACCACAAGTGACAAACTAGGGAAAATATGTGCAATTAACAACAGACACAAAATGCCCAAATCCCTAACATAGGAAGATTTACAAATTAGGAAAGAAAAACATCAGCAGTACATTAAAAAAAAAAAAAAAAAAAAAAAAAAAAGGGTGAGAATAAAAAGTTCACAGAAAGAGAAAGGTAAATGACTCTTGATCATATACAAAGATGCTCACCTTTATACACAAAAAGAAAAATTCAAATTAAAACCACACTGAAATTTGTTCTTGTTAGATTAGCAATGGTCCAAAGTGGACACTATTCTCTATTGGTGAGCCTATGAGAAAAAATGTACTTTCCAGACATTTCTGATATTACTACAAGACTGTTATGAAACATATGATGGAAAAACTGGCCGGGGCGCCTGGGTGGCTTAGTCGTTTGGGCGTCCGACTTTCGCTTAGGTCATGATCTCGCGGTTCGTGGGTTCGAGCCCCGCGTCGGGCTCTGTGCTGACTGCCAGCTCGGAGCCTGGAGCCTGTTTCAGTCTGTGACTCCCTCTCTCTCTGACCCTCCCCTGCTCACGCTGTCTCTCTCTCTCTCTCCTAGAAATAAATAAAACATTAAAAAAAATTAGAAAAAAAAACTGGCATAGTGTCTGAGAATGATATGAGTATTGGCGAATTCTGAGAGGATGACTTTAGGAATCTATCTTCATGTAAACAGCAATTGGCAAGAGCTATCTGATAGAACTATTTTAGAACTCTGAAGTTTATTTAAGTCTTCCAACTTCTGGAGTAAGGCTTGGACAATAAAATATGATTAATTTCTATCAATTACAACTCTTAGCAAAGTAGCAGTTACCCATCCTCCACCCCTCCGCCAGTTCGCAGGGAGCTGGGCACATATTCCTAAAGCAGCCTGCACACTGTGGCTGGGAGCAATTATGGGCAAAAAGGACCAGGTCCTCTAAGTATCAGAGATCTGTGCCCTAATAAATGACTGGTGTTTCTGATCACAGAGGTGCAGATGACTAAATCTGTCACACCCACCCTTCTTGCTACCAGTGCCTCCACTCAGGATGAGAAAATTTCCAGGGGATTCGAAGGTCTAGCATCTTTTCACCCTCTTCATTTTTCTCCTTTTTTCCCTTTGGAAGCCAGGTATTAAAAACTGGGACATCTCAAAGGAACTACATATGGAGGGAGATGAGCAAGCCACTGTGCATACGGAGGGGAGGTCATAGCTCAGAAACTACTTGAGAAGACCTTAGGTTTACACCTCAGACTAGTCCTCAGCACAGAGACAGACTACAATAAAGAACACACACACACACACACACACACACACACACACACACCAACAAAAATAGAAACAAACAAACAAAAAAACCAGTAAATTCTGGGAAAGTGAAAAATTCTGATTTCCAGAATTACCACATTATTAGATTCAAATGTCCAGTTTTCAACAACAACAACAACACAGGGTATACACAAAAACAGAAAAGTATGGCCCACTTGAAGGGAAAAAAAATCAATAGAAATTGCCCCTGAAAAACACCTGATTGATGACTTACTAGATAAAGATGTTAAAACAACTTTCTTAAATATGCTCAAAGAACTAAAAATAGGTGTAGAGAAAGTTCAGAAACTTAGGTATTAATGAAATGGAAAAAAGATAGAGAACCTAAAAAGAAACTATAATAAGCTATAAGAAATTCTGGAGCTGAAAAAGACAACCCTGAAATAAAAACTTTACTAGAGAGGCTGAAATACAAATTGGAGCAGGCAGAATAATCAATAAACTTGAGGATACAACAATGGAAATTACTGATGCTGAGTAACAGAAAAAATGATTAAATAAAAGGGAACAGCACCTAATCGACCAATAGGGCACTATTAAGCAAGTCCACATACACATTCTGGAAGTCACAGAAGAAGAAAGAGAAAGGGACAAAGAGAATGTCTGAAAAATTAATGGCTAAAAACTGCCAAAGTTTGAGGAAAGACAGAGATATAGATATACATCTAAAAACCTCAATGAAATTAATTTAAGATGAGACTCACACCAAGACACTTCATAATCAAATACAGAAGACAAAGACAAGGAGAGAATATTGAGAACAGCTAGAGAGAAATGAATCCTCACATACCAAGGATCCCCAATAAGATTATCAGCCTTTTTCTTTTAGAAACTTTGGTGAAGCCAGAAGAAAGTGGCCCTATTTACTCACAGTGCTAAAAGAAAAAAAAATGTCATAAAAGAATTCTATATCTGGCAAAACTCTCCTCCTAAAGTGGCAGAGAAATTAAGACATTCCCAGATAAAAGCTGAGAGAGTCCATCACTACTAGTCCAGCCCTGCAAGAAGTGGCAAGGGGATCCTGCGGGTTACCAGGGGCAGACACCAGGCAATAATGTGAAGCAGTAGGGGAAACAAAGATCTCACAAAGAGTAAATATATGGGTGATTATAAAAGCTAGTATTATAGCAACAACTCCACTTTGTGATTTCTACATAACTTAAGAGACTAAGAAATTTAAAATAATTATTAGTTTATGTTTTCAGGTACACAATATACAAACATGTAATTTTGTTACATAAACAACCTAAAACATGAGGATTGAACTGAAAAAGAATAGAGTTTTATAATCTTAAAAATATTTTTCTGAGAGACAGAGAGACAGAGACAGAGAGACAGAGAGAGAGAAAGGGAGTTCAGGAGCAGGGGAGAGACACAGAGGGCCAGAGAGTCCCAAGCAGATCCATTCTCAGTGCAAAGCCCACCACAAGGTTTGATCCCCTGACCCTGGTATCGGGACCTGAGTCAAAATCAAGAGTCAGACACTCAACTGCATGAGCCATCCAAGTTCCCCAGAGTTTTGTATATTATTATATTTAAGGTAGCATAAATTCAGCTTACAGTACTATAACCTTAGGATTTAAATATAGTTCACATGATGATGACAAAGAAACCAGTTATAGAATATACACAAAAGAAAATAAAAGCAGAATTTAAACAGTACAAAAAATCAACTAAACACAAAAGGAGACAGTGCTGAAGGAAATGAAGATGAGAAAACTGTAAGACGTATGGAAGAAAACAAATATCAAAATGACAAAAGTCCCTCCTTAGCAGTAATGACTTTAGATGTACATTAATTAAACTCTCCAGTCAAAGACAGAGATTGACCAAGTGAATTAAGAAAAAAGCCTGATCCAACTATATGCTGTCTACAAGGCACTCACAGTTTAGATTCCAAGATAGAAATAAACGGATAGTGAAAAGCTGACATATGCCAGACCTCGAGGACATTGTGATAAATGAAATAAGGTTGTCATAAAAATGACAAATACCACATGATTCTACTTATATAAGGTTCTTAGCTGCTACCACAGAGACAGTCGGTAGAATTGTGTATTCCAGGGGTCATGGGGAGAGAATAGGGAATTATTGTTTAATGTGTATAGAGTTTCAGTTTTACAAAATGAAAAGAGTTGCAGATGCAACTTTATAAACGTAATTAATATCACTAAACTGTATACTTAGAAATGGTTAAGATGGGAAACTGCATGTTATGCATATTTTATGACAAAT